ATTGTGCACAATTCCGTGGTTTCTATGTAGAGCCTAACTAGCTAGCATTACGAGTGACCTGTATGCTGAGTTTTCCACTCCAAATAGCAAAAAAGCAGGGGAGGTTTGTCGTTTTCAGAATCCTGTGTTATAAATTGGCCTATTGGGAGACTTCGACTGCCGATTAGTAATTACACAGATATACGTCTCCAGACGACAGCGAATGCCGAGCCTCCCAAAAAAAAACGCCACGAGGGGACACTTCACTTTCCGTGTCTAGGCAAAATTGCCACTAATTAGTGCCACGTATCTATCTGTGGCAGTTCGTTTCCAGTGGAACTCAGTTCGTTGTCAGTCCGCACAATTTATCCAACCTGTAAGCATTAAGTTTCTCAGCATATTTGCTGTACTTTTAACGATTGATTTGTTTGCCAAATTTAAGTTGAGCTGTGTTGTTCTCTCTGCTCCAGCATTGTGGTACTAACATGTGACCCATTTCTCATGCTGTCTTTTGCACGTGACACCTTACTTGTTTCAAGATTGTGCTTATTCTACTCATGGTCACTCAGAGAACCATGTAACTCTTTGGCATTTAAGATCATCCCACTTGCTGTCTTATACCACATTTATTTGAAAAATATTTACTATAAGTTTGGTAATTCGACAAATCCTGACATGCGGGTCAATCCATCGTCGTAACCAGAATAATCACGCCAGAACAGAAGGATAACTGTTCAAACGAGAGTGATGTGAGTATGAACAGCACATATCCCGCGAACCCCACAACAGGTTACTGGTTCAGAGTCAGGCAAACCAATCAAATCGCTCAAACACGTTCGAACACGTTCACATATGGAGTATTGGTAGCACACTCGCCTCGCGTGTTAGATGTGCGAAGTTCAGACCCCGGCACGGTCATAGGATATGCACTGCTAATAAGCTGTAATAAGAGCCAAACTCGGGTCCAGTGCTTCCCTTCTTTCGTGTGGACTCACCAGAATAATTGCACCAGCAGAGGGGAACGGCTGTTCAAACGAGATCGATGTGAACGTGAACACCACATATCCCGCAACCACCCACAGCGAAATTCGACAGTTACACTCATCAGTATACCAATTTGGTTTTAACGGCAACTAATTATACGTAGCTCCAGGCGACACCCAATCCCATTCAAAGGGAAGCAGATCCGTTGGACCAGATGGAGTGATCCCCTTCTTTCTTCAATGAACTTGATTCGACCCCTTCATTTCCGTTGTACCCTTGAAATTTGCACTTGTTAATGAGATGGCTTGAGGTACACTCTCGGGAAAATGTGGACATGGCCGATATCTACAGTTGCTCAAATTGTGCCACATAGTCCTCTAATTGGGTGTGGACATACTCAAGTAAATGAAGGGTGATCGCCTCCCACTGGTTATTTATCAGAAGCCTGAAAATAAACAAAACTCGGTCGGTGGAATGGAATCTGGATCCAACCAACAATTGGAACTAAGGTTCAGGCAGTCGCACTCAGGACATTCGTGTCATGCGAGCAGAGGCTGCGGTAGACCACTGAAATATGTATGGATGTCGACGGATCGCTTCTTAGTACCCTCCGGTGTCAGGTTAGCGACAAATTGCAACGTCCTTCATTAGAAATCAGGAGTGCTGTTATTGTGACCTTGTTGTAGCTTGCTGAACGGTAGTGCAACTCTGTGTCGGTCCCTTGGCTTCCTGCTCCGCCCAAATGGTACAGCAAAAGGCACGGTAGCTCTACACATCCCTTCATGGAGACAAAGGAAAATCATTACAACTGTATATATATATATATATATATATATACAGTTGTAATGATTTTCCTTTGTCTCCATGAAGGGATGTGTAGAGCTACCGTGCCTTTTGCTGTACCATTTGGGCGGAGCAGGAAGCCAAGGGACCGACACAGAGTTGCACTACCGTTCAGCAAGCTACAACAAGGTCACAATAACAGCACTCCTGATTTCTAATGAAGGACGTTGCAATTTGTCGCTAACCTGACACCGGAGGGTACTAAGAAGCGATCCGTCGACATCCATACATATTTCAGTGGTCTACCGCAGCCTCTGCTCGCATGACACGAATGTCCTGAGTGCGACTGCCTGAACCTTAGTTCCAATTGTTGGTTGGATCCAGATTCCATTCCACCGACCGAGTTTTGTTTATTTTCAGGCTTCTGATAAATAACCAGTGGGAGGCGATCACCCTTCATTTACTTGAGTATGTCCACACCCAATTAGAGGACTATGTGGCACAATTTGAGCAACTGTAGATATCGGCCATGTCCACATTTTCCCGAGAGTGTACCTCAAGCCATCTCATTAACAAGTGCAAATTTCAAGGGTACAACGGAAATGAAGGGGTCGAATCAAGTTCATTGAAGAAAGAAGGGGATCACTCCATCTGGTCCAACGGATCTGCTTCCCTTTGAATGGGATTGGGTGTCGCCTGGAGCTACGTATAATTAGTTGCCGTTAAAACCAAATTGGTATACTGATGAGTGTAACTGTCGAATTTCGCTGTGGGTGGTTGCGGGATATGTGGTGTTCACGTTCACATCGATCTCGTTTGAACAGCCGTTCCCCTCTGCTGGTGCAATTATTCTGGTGAGTCCACACGAAAGAAGGGAAGCACTGGACCCGAGTTTGGCTCTTATTACAGCTTATTAGCAGTGCATATCCTATGACCGTGCCGGGGTCTGAACTTCGCACATCTAACACGCGAGGCGAGTGTGCTACCAATACTCCATATGTGAACGTGTTCGAACGTGTTTGAGCGATTTGATTGGTTTGCCTGACTCTGAACCAGTAACCTGTTGTGGGGTTCGCGGGATATGTGCTGTTCATACTCACATCACTCTCGTTTGAACAGTTATCCTTCTGTTCTGGCGTGATTATTCTGGTTACGACGATGGATTGACCCGCATGTCAGGATTTGTCGAATTACCAAACTTATAGTAAATATTTTTCAAATAAATGTGGTATAAGACAGCAAGTGGGATGATCTTAAATGCCAAAGAGTTACATGGTTCTCTGAGTGACCATGAGTAGAATAAGCACAATCTTGAAACAAGTAAGGTGTCACGTGCAAAAGACAGCATGAGAAATGGGTCACATGTTAGTACCACAATGCTGGAGCAGAGAGAACAACACAGCTCAACTTAAATTTGGCAAACAAATCAATCGTTAAAAGTACAGCAAATATGCTGAGAAACTTAATGCTTACAGGTTGGATAAATTGTGCGGACTGACAACGAACTGAGTTCCACTGGAAACGAACTGCCACAGATAGATACGTGGCACTAATTAGTGGCAATTTTGCCTAGACACGGAAAGTGAAGTGTCCCCTCGTGGCGTTTTTTTTTGGGAGGCTCGGCATTCGCTGTCGTCTGGAGACGTATATCTGTGTAATTACTAATCGGCAGTCGAAGTCTCCCAATAGGCCAATTTATAACACAGGATTCTGAAAACGACAAACCTCCCCTGCTTTTTTGCTATTTGGAGTGGAAAACTCAGCATACAGGTCACTCGTAATGCTAGCTAGTTAGGCTCTACATAGAAACCACGGAATTGTGCACAATGAATGGTCAACAGAATAAGGATTGTTGATCCTGGAACACCCAGTTGTCGAAGGTTTCATGCGCTCATCAGAATGGGTTCAGAGGATGGCCTATTGCTTGATCTCTAGGTTCAGTGAGGCCGATCGCTTTTCCCGTAAAGTGATAATGGCAACTGAGAACGTCGAGGATCCAACTTCTATGTTATTCAAGCGCATCGAAGTATGTACCATCAACGTTTTCCGATAGGGATGTGGCTAGCGCACCAGCTCTTGATCGGTCTATCGACTAACCGCAAGTGTTCTCGAAACAATCCTCAGTCCCTCAGACTAGACAATCGAATGTGGGCGAATGTACGGCTATTATAAAATTAGTAACCTCCAGTCCAATGCAAACGTGAAATCCTCTTGACATGCAGGGTTTGAATAGGTTCAGTTCGTTGAAGATGTACCTTGGAGTGACATTAAGGATGTCACTCGCATCACATCTCAATGGAAAGGAAACTTACACTCTAGTGACTAGTAGGATGTTGATGATACTGGCGGCCACCGATAGGTAGGTACCAAAATGCTTTATTTTATCTCACCTACGTTTTCAGTTGCTATTTAAATCGGATTAAGGAGATATCCGGATAGACGGCTTGATATAGGAGACGGGGGCTTGCTGATTTTAAACACAACCCAGGTAGCGGGCCGTACAAACAAAACAATGGGTAATTTGCTGGTTCTGTTCACAGTGCTCACATTTTATTGAGCCCGACAGTATCTGGTTATTGTATGTCTTCTAAGAAACATGAGGCGACCTGTTGAAGCAAATTATGTTGCTTGGGAACATCATGAAAAAGATATTCAGCTCGGTTCCAGGTGAGTCTCCCGTCAAAACCCAACTGATTGTATGTATCGAGACATGTAACCTTGAAACGATAAACACCCCACCCAGCATAATGCAGATAAGCTTGGCCGAGTGAAGTATTCCGGTGCATGCTAGTCCCAACAAATCACTATCGCTCTTTCACCTGGTTAGCTATTTATATCCGTCCTGTGAAACGCAAACCGCGCTGTTACAGAGCGAGATTGGAGCGGTATTTTCCTGGTCGATCGGCTATCAGCACCAAAACCAGGTTACGGGTGCTTAACTGGCAAGCAAAACAGCACGAACCATCATCTGGTGGCTCTGACCAAACTATCGGTCAAATAGCGGCCTACTGGTCAGAAGCCGATGACTATAGTGTCTGGTTTTAACAAACCGTGGATTGTGTCGTGTCACTCTTGGAATCCCATGCTGATAGTTCGCTTGCTAGTGTTAACTTTCTGACACTTGCCCGAGGGTTGGAGTCTGGCATAATGACAACGGAGCAAGTCCTGTCGCTTCTGGACATCCACGCCTCAAAGACGTTTCCACACAGAAGGAATCCTGTCTCCCGACGCTGTCCCATTGTTTGCTTGCTGACAGCTGGAGCTGTAAATTACAACTGCCCTCACTCCAGCTCGCATTGCTACACCAAGATGGTTGTTTGGAATCTACATCACTATTGCACGCTCTGCTTCGTCATTCATCAGCGACTGCTTCTCACCTCAGCTTGGCGCCTGTTGTTATCTCGAAAGCGTTTGATTCTGTTTCGCAAAACAGCTGTCAGATCTGTCCAAGCGTTTGCAGCATTGTCACTCCTTATTCGACACATTCTACAGTCCTATGAGGATGCTGCAGAAGTTTTCCCCAATTCCGAGGTTCGCTGCCACAGAGACGTGAAGCAGGAAGCTCCACTCTTCCCAATGTTGTTCCTCATGGCAGTGGACGAGGTTCTTGGATTGTCGATGTTGCAACTAGGATACCAGTCACATGACATCTTAGTGGATGGTGAACCCAGTAATCACCGAGGGTGATTACTGGTCAAGTCCACCAAAACACGCTCAAGAGGTTTGACAGTTACATCAGGCAATCTATTTGTGACTGGCTACGTCTGCCGAGAGACACTCCGATCAGCCACATCCACGCCGGTAACCAACATGGGGGATTTGGTATCCCAAGCCTGAGTTCAACCATCCCGATGCAACGGGAAACGCGCGTGGAAAAGTTTTCGACCACTCAGTGCCCAGAACTATGATATGTGGTCAATGATTCGCATTTAGCAAGGTTGTTCGGGATCTTACCCTTCCGATCCGAGCCACGCTGCATGCGTAAACACTAAGGAAGAGATGGTGATTGCTTGGGATGATAGTCTACACAACAGCGTTGACAGTCACAGGTTACGAGAGTTAGTCGCTTCATCTCTGTCGAATCGATGGTTTGTGTTTCCAGAACGAGTGTTTCCTCGGATATTTATCCGCCGTATTCAGCTCTGGTGCAACCTATTTAGCAAGAGAGTTAGAAGCGCACGGCTTGGTTATGGTGGCCAGACAATCTTCTGTAGTGGAAACTGTGGCGAACCGGAGAGTCGTGCATATTCTGTAGTCCTGCTGGATCACACATGGTGCTAGATGCGCTAGTTGTGATCGAGTCGCAAGGGAAATCGCGAAATGTCTTTGTCGCCTGGGATGCCGAGTCTCCAAAGAGTTGAAAGCATTTACGTAGACGTCTTCATCAAGCCTAACCTAATCGCTGTTCACGATCACTGAGCAACTGTGACGAATGTAAGCATGGTCTCGGATAGGCGCGGAGTGACTGTGTTTAATGAAAAGAAACATAGCCATGATGGTTATGATTGTTCCCTTGCCATCATCTCAGTCCTTCGTGCAATCTGTTGTGATGTCGACTTTTTGGTCCACCAACCAATGACAATTTCATGTAGAGGGGTCCACTTTCCTCAATCTGTCAAGGCTACCATTGGACTGGGACTCCCTAAAATCAGTCGGTGACTTGCATTCGCACACCATTTTACGTTCTTTGTGCACTTGCGACACTTTTATGAGTGGAACATGACGTTGCCATCGACCTTCACATCCGACCCAGTATGACAGACAGCTTGTCCCTGATGTGCGAGTCTTAATTGTGCTAGCGCCTACAGCGCCTTGAAGAGTATTAAACATTGTTTGCCCTTTCTTCAGCTGCTGGTCTTTACAAGCGTGTTTCCATACCAAACATTCTCGCATAGGCATTTATCTTATCTGACTGGAGCTGTTGGTGGTACGCCTTTGAATGGGACGCTTCCCTCGTTTTATCTAATATTCTCCACTACACCCTTCCATATCTATCGTTTGGATTTATTTTTCATTTTTTCGACCATCCAGTGCCTTATGCACCTATCCTTCCTTGCACTATGTATATGCTGATTTATGTTCTCGACCTCATTAGTGGCTAACAAGGTACCCTATTTCTGAGACGGAGAGGTGTTTACCTTCTCAGGTCGGATTTACATCGTTCATCTCTACAAAAAGCACTCATTCAAGGCCCTACAATTCAGTAACACACCACTGACAGTATGAGAATGTAATGCAAAAAAGAGGGGGACACTGAATTCAGTTATACTGTTCTCCAGACACATCCAGAACCAAGATCTACAATTAACCTGTATGGTCCGTTTGTCACCAGCAAACTTACTTGCGGTAAAAAATACGCGGATATTCATCCAGAGTGACGCACACGGTAGCCAATTGTTCCGCCAATTGTTCTAACTGAGTCTTTTTGTCAGGAACCAAACGCGCGGGCAAACTGTAGGTTTGTCCTGTTTCTTGACACTCAAGACTAAAAAGACACGATTCGATGGGGATGAAATCCAGATCCAATTGCTCCAAAGTTTTGACGTATTGCATGCCTCTTGAAGCAGCTATGACATTCAGCACGTCCCTGGGGCATGCTTTGAGAATGGAAACGAAGATATTCATTCAGATGAATAATCTAAGCAGCTGTGCATCCACTGATTGTGATGCGTTCGATTCGTCTACTGAACAGAGACGAAACCCTAAAAAATTGCCTCGATATTTAGGACCTGATCGGACAAGTGTCATCCGCGAAAAGCCATCACATCATTGAAACTATGCCAGTGAATAAAGCGTAGCCTTTTCACCTATGGAATTTAAACTCACCTTGGTAATCACTCTGAGTCTATTTATCGGTCTGTTTTGCCTTGAGGCTGTCCACACCCCATCGGTTGTCTTATTTGAGAACACGACCTAAAGTAAGTGCTCGTCTCTACGCTGACATCATTAGGCTATAAGTCGCTTGCAACGTGCTAAATATTCATTATTAACTATGCTTCGCATCGAGAACGCGATTTGTCCAACTTAGGAAACCTAATAAAAGGCTAACAAATACAGCTTTGTCCTGAAGCTTCAATCACGTAATTTCGGACCTATAGTAGTGTAACTTAGCAGGTGACCGGTTGATGTAAAAAGACACGCCGCATTTCGGCTTCCCCGGATTTTCAGTAGGCAAGCACTCAAAGAAGCACCGGAAAATAGTTGCTCTTCATATGATGATCTGAAACTCGTTCTAAAAACGGCCATTCATCATTTTATCTGTGCGGTGGCGAATTTTTCGCGTCTCATAAGGGCCACATGACAGCTCACGAAAAATAAACAGGGTATTCTCATATTACTGATATTCCTCAAAAGGCATCAAAACATACAAAGCTGATATTCTACTTGAATCCAAATTGTACTGACTTCGACAAATCAGTCAATTTGGGTTCAAGTAGAAAGTAAATTTGACGGAAACCCGGAGACTGCGCCTATCTGATCAGCCCTAAGAAGGGCGAAACCGGACTAGGCAGTCGGAAAGTTTTCAATAACCTTTATGAAGATATACCGCGATATCTCTAATATCGTACCAACTAAAACATGAGAAGGCCTCTGTGCAGTAAATTCAGTTGAGGAGTATAATAAACGACAGATTCAATTGAGGCTACCGTGAAAACAAACTGATACGCAAATGAGTGTATTGACGATACCAAGCTGAAATTCGAACAAAGAGACGTTGTTAGACATTCCTTAACGCTAAATTATGTGCAGTAGTCAATAGGGTTCATTAATCAGGGTAATGAGGATTGGAGGTGTTGAGTTCCATTTTCCTGAGGAACTTTTAAGAGGGGAAAAAACTTTTACCGTAGAAAAATAAACATCGATCGGCACTACTCACCAACCAGCTACTAGATCTAAAAAAATAGTCCATCAATACAGTCCTACCAATCAATCAATCACAATCGAACCACGGCTGAAGTGCAAGATGGTGACGAAATATGCTACCTTCTATAAGCTTAAGCATCAATCCACCATGCTTCCAACAATCACCACTAAATCTGAACATTATCAGCACCATGACTCGTTCATTTGCGTTGTTGCGAGTTTTCAGTTAACTCGCAAACATTGACCACGTGCCAAGCTCCGGGGGAAAGTGTATGCTAGGACAAAACAGTGGAGTGCATAAACGACTTTTTAGAAGGAAGCTTCTTATTCCCGCTCAATTTGTGGCTGAGCAGCTATGATCACAACACAGAGAGCAGTTATTTTTGCTCACTTGATAGACTTTTCGAGTAAGAGTGGGACTATAATCTTCTCGAGGTTATTTTTCGGTGAATGCAAGCCCCCTGTAGATAGTTGGCTGACGAAGTTGGGCATGAGCCAAATTACGTGAATTATGCACAAAAGGTACAGCGATTATATAGACTTTGCCCTGGACGTACACTACTCTTTAGCTAACCGTGAGTAAATGAATGAAGTTCTAAAAGTCCTCACGGAATTGTCAAGAACGATAACTTCCAATTTTTAAATGTCAGTGTGTTCCCTATTGTCTGACGTAAGTGATGGAATTGATAACTAGGCCCTTTCATATGACCCTTAGCGAGAAGATGACAATGAAAGTTGACATTCTCAAGTGAAGAGAAGGATCTTTTGATAGCATAATGTACAGTCTGTTTTGGCTAAGTCCCATATCAAGACCGAAGGTCCTCTACACTCGGTTCCATGGGTGGAATCTGTGATTATTCAAAAGCGATAGAAACTATACCCCGCCTTAAGACTATTGTCCCGTGGCATTACAACAGTGAAACGGTAAAAATTTAAGTTTTATCAAGGATGTCCGCGGGCTGCTGATAGGAAAAAAGTTTGCGGACAGTCGCTTGTATAATAAAGTACCCAAGACTCAGGCTCCTTTTCCAAGGGCAAAATTCGACATTCAAGTAAAGGATTCGTTCATAAACCAATCAAGAAAGTGGAATAAACAGTAAATATTAGGCCTGCATATATACTACTCTAGAGAGCATCGGTGAATTGGACGAACGGCTGAAAAGAATGTATACTAGTCCTGAGATAAAACGAAGAAAGGCCCACAAACGTAAGGTTTTAATGGGGATTCATTCAGTAAAAAGTGATTAATATTACAGAAAGGGTCATTTTTCCCGGGGTTATTGATAAGCTATCGAACCCTTTGCTGATGCAAGCTTGTGTTTACCGGAAAACCAGTCCCAACATTCATTAAATTTCGAAAAACATCATGCGAGATAAATATACAAGACCACTTACGCAACAGAAAGAACACATGGGCTGCCGGATACGTTGGCATCTCAGAACTGAAGTCTCGAAGAAAAAGATCCACCTCCTGTTGATTTAGAGTGCACGCGGAACAAGGGACTTACTCTTCTATGCGGATACATAATGTAGATAGCCTCCATATTAAACGGCCTTCGGACTTTGTACAAGGATTCAACCACTACAAAAAGGTAATAAACTGTAGAAGACAAGCGATAGCATACGCGTGATTCCAAATTCCGTGATATCATGCATTTTGTAGACAGAAGAAACGACACGCGTAGCCCTTTCGTCCATTATCAAAATCTTCCAGGAACCTGGTTGATACAATGGCTGGAAAACATGCTTTCGAAAAGCTTAACCCGATTAAAAAGGTAGTGCACTAACTTACCATACATTACAGCTGATTGCAGCGACATCGGTAGAAATTAGCTCGACTCAGTCGAGGTAGATTCAACTCGAGCTATAAAACAAATCAATCAATCAATCAATGTCAGCTGCAATAACCGCGTTCTCGTTGTACAGTTGTTGTAGCTGCCACAGTTTCGTTCACCGATGATTTGGGGGGGGGGGTAGCTGCGCATTACAGGGGGGAGAATGATAAACTGTGCATAAATCCAGCACTGTCAGTGGGGGAATTGGGAAGGGTGCTATGCAGTGAAGCTTAAATGCACGAGCGCTATTGAGGGCGCGACTGGGCATTGTCTGACAATGTCACTAACTATTGACGTGGACCGTCTCGGGCTTCCCATCCAGGAAGACGGCAATGACCAGCGCAGCTGAGTTTGCTGGTAAAGGATTTCACACTTCGCTACCAACCCATTGGTTGACCGCCCCTGGCTGTCTTCCACCCTTCACGTGGTTGTGCGAAAATAGCTCTTCGAGGAAATTACAAAACAAATAATTTACTCAAAAGTTCGCTGAGGTGGAAACAATCCTGAGCCCTAAAAAATGGGAATACAGGCATACAAGAAACGAAGTTCCCACTGTATGATGGCAAAAGTAACGGAGGAGAAGATTAAGTCGATGAACGGAAGAATCACCTACAAAAGAGCAAAGGTTCAAGCAACAAAAGATTGGTGCAGTCAAAAAGGAAAAGAGACAGACATAGCAATCTTGAGAGGGCACCTGATATGAGCAGAATATTGCTTCCTTGGGTCAATTACTACAACATGGTGGTCACAATCTGTCTGCCTCTTCAATCTTACCAAATATCTCTGAAATACGCAATCAGCCATCCTCCGGTGTTTGTAGAATGAAAACTCCGACATCGACCTCGGAACACTCATGATTGGACCGTTAATAACGCGTCCTATTGCTCAAAGGTGACCTAATCTGGGAGTCAAATTAACGGCAACCGTAAGAGATCCATGGAACATATATAATCCTAAAGGTTCGATCTTTAAAAGTGACTTACGATGTTAAAAACTCCACAAACCTATCCCAGTTAAAATCCACTCAAAGTGTTTTTTAAAATAGCAATTAAAGATGGTTATCACTGTTAAACCATTACTGAAAGTATTAAAAATTAAAAGTGAAAATTAAAATTCTTCCGTCACCCATACTGTGACTTGAGCGCGGACCAGTGGCCTCGCACCCTGGCCGCTGAGCTATTTCAAGCATGAGGGTTCACAAAGAGCATCCACCTGCCACTATGAAATACCTTTTGAATAATTCCCAAGAAGGTTGCACCTTCTGGTCAGTTCATTCAAGTAGCCCACCCAGTCTCACCCAAAAATTTCTAAGCAAAATTGCAGTGGATTAAATGACCAGGACGAACGCTCTACCGAGAGCAGCATAGTCAGCTGTTCCGTGCATATCTACCCTTGGAACTTGAGTGAGAAAACAAGTGCACCACTGTCCTTTGTTACATAAACCTGGTTAGTCTGAAGAGTAAAAATCATTCATTCCTAGGGATCGTTCCGCCTCTGGTATTGTGGGTGGACGAGAGAGTGGGCTGCGTGTGATCTCGTAAAGACGATTCTACGGCAATCGCTCAGGTGCCCAGCTCGCATATCAACAGTCAGCTAGATTTACGAGTCTAATATAACCTGGTCCATTTGTCTCAGCAAGATAAAAGTGAATTACACTCCCGATGTCTTTTAACACATGCATGCGGTGACGCATGCGTAAGCTAAGTACGGCCCTGGCAGATTGATTGTTGGTGAAAAGCGAGTTCCCACGTTATAGCGTAAGTGGCGTTCATATGGTACATGCCTTAGAGAGATCTGAATAATTCAGCTGAACCAAAATAGCATTGAACTGCCGAGTGTTAGCTGTTATAGGTGAACTCGGTTACAGATCGTGTACCAAGGATACGGTGTTCCAGGCATGATAGTTTGGATCGATGAAAAATGAGGAAGCGTTGGAGACACACCAACACACGAGAGATGATGGCAGAATTAAATAGTCCGGTAAACTGGCAACCTGGCAACTACGCATTGAAGGTGATAGCTTAGATGAACGACATCGATGCTTGCATGACTGAGCCATGTCTGCAAGTGGCATCAACCACTGGTAAGTCGCATAGTCTCCATCCAGGGAGCGACAGTTGTCCACCCGACTGAGTTTACTGATTACCGCCTTCATACTTTGTTGTCAGGTCATACACTGTCTACCTTTCGGTAGCTTCCGCTCACTGGGCTGGTGGCTCTACGATGCAGATGGTTCTCTGACATGCGAAGTACATGTCCTAACCAGCGTAACCCATGAAGCGTGAGAAATATACCCATCGGGGAAGAGTTCTATTTTTCTTAAAACTAACTGGCCTACGTCAGCATTGCTAATCGAGCGTTCCCATCAAACCTAATGATTGCTTTGGAGACACCGATGGTCAAACACTGACAGCTTCCGTACGTTCTCTACACGTATAGAGCCCGTTTCTGATCCACAGAACATTGGAGATCGCATTGCTGCGGTGAAACTGTGCCCCTCATGGACAAACTGAAGTCGCATCGTCACGCGTCGGAGGTTGGAAAAAGCTGTCCAGAGGCACGATTTGGAGATGATGGTCAAGTGTGCACTGATAACAAGTGCATTCGTTTGCCCAATGGAAGTGAGAGTTACACAGCGAATGTGACGGCTTTGACGCAAAAGCGTCATCCACTGCGTGGTACAGTCATAACTGCGAATGCCACTAACCACTGGTTTGTCTTGTTCTGTGTTTCCCATCCGGGAAGACGTCGGTTGCCAGCGCGACTGAATTGACTGATAGGGGCTTTCGCGCTTCGTTTCCATGGCATAGACTGTCGCCCCTGCCTCTCATACTTCGTTGCCAAGTCACTGCTCAACCTCCCCTGGCTCGTCTCCACCCTTCAAGTAGCTGTGCGAAAAGCGGTCCCCAAGGAAGTCGGCCAGCTGACGTCATCGCCATCATCATCATCAACCCCGGAAGTTCGTTAACATAATACATTTTGTGTTCTCAGACTTCCAGACATGTGAGAGTATACGGTGTGCTCTCCAAAAACTTCCGCTCACAAAGTGGCAGCCATACGTATTCCTGAATATCCATGAGTGGAACGCCGTAAGTCCTGAGCGGCTCTGCTCCGAGTTGGGCGACGTGCGAAGCTCTGTTGAGTTGTATTGGGTTGTTGTGCTGTGCTGTGCTGTTATCCTACACGTAGGAGCGTTTGTGTGCGTGGGCGTCAGTACATGGCTTGTTGCTGCCTTATTAGTCGGTAGACAGTCGAAGTCAGATGAGTCACCTTTGTGTGTCATGATTTGTACGTGTAGGGAAAGAAGGCGAGTCTTGAGATCAAGGGCTTAACTGTGAGCTGCGTAGTCAAGTAAGTCACGATTCTGTGACGTGATTTGTGAGTGTATAAAAGACGGATCACGTGATCTAGCGAGTGTCGGTGACCCGTACAGTCATGTATGTGGCGAAAGGGTGGCTAAAATGTCAGCGTATCCATTGAAGAATGTGTCCAGCACCAGAAGCTGCATTGGTTGGGACATGTGTTGCGTATGCCGAACCATCGGTTGCCGAAGATAGTGCTGCTTTTCCATATCAAATTCAGAAAAGCGTAAGCAGAGAAGGGGCCAACCCTTGACGTAGCAGAGTATGAAGAAGATCAGGAAACGCTGTCGGTGCTACTCACCTTCCAGGATTGGGACCACGTGATTCCCATTGCGTCTAATTGGAGACACTAAGATATGGCTGCCCACGGATGTCAGTGGCGCTCAGTTGTTGTCTGTTTCTATTCAGATTGCCTGAATGAGTGTCTGGCGGTGTAGGCACCTCGTCCCTTCCCGTCCACCTTTATTTTTTCTTTACAGTAAGCCTTTCGAATAAATCATGGTTGTATGGCAGTTAAAATCGGTGTTGAACACTGATGTCATGCTGTCGATGATGATGAAGCTTCTGAGGCATCGGTGGTCGAAACCTGAGGATGCCTCACATCATCTGTTCGCGGAGGCCGTCTCGTACTCAAATAACAACACAGCCCTTACAGTAGCCTGGTACACACAACCCTTAAGACCCAGCGAGATGCCTTTTTGACGCCACAAGTGACGCAAATTAGCGAACGTTATTCGAGCCTTTAAGATTCTTGCACTGATCTCATCAGACACACTTCCATCAGAGCTAATACAACTATCGAGGTATGTAGAGTTTTCTAAAATATCCTGTGATTCTCCTTGAATTGCAAGGGATTTGTTCGGAGACTCCACGTTCCGAAGCATGACTTTGTACTTTGAAGATGCAGGGTGCATGCCGAAATATTGTATGATAGTGGTCAGTCTACTCAACAGAAACTGTGCCTCGCTTTGGTCTTCAAAGATAGTAGCTATGTCATTTGCGTACTCCAGATCGATAAGGCTCTCACCAGCAACAATTTGAACACCGGGGTTTTGAAGACCGTACAGCGTTCGCCTCATTATTTCATCGATGACGAAGTTGAACAAGAATAAAGAGAGAGGACATCCTTGTCTGACACCGCTTTTTGTAGGGTAGGGAAGCTTTTAGAGAGCTCACGATACACCATCACCTGCCCAGAAGTATTTGAATATAGGCGTCGGATTCTGTTTACAAACCTCTGGGTCATACCCTGTTATGGGGTGTAGTTGACAGCACTGACCGATCGACAGAATCAAATGCACCTTTGAAGTCACGGAATACCAACATTGTGGGTCATCCATACATGTGGCATTGCTCTAACACCTGACGGAGTGTGGAGACGTGGTCGACGCAGCCTCTACCCGGTCGAAATCCCACTTGATTCTCACGATTCAATGTTTCGCGTGCCACCATGAGACGACGAAGAATCAGTGACGCCAGAAGCCTTGCCACAACAGAAGTCAAACTAATATCTCTGTGGTTACTACCTTCACTGTGAGTGCCCTTTTTGAAAGTGGGCACTACTGTCGATTCATTCCAGTTGTCTGGGACGGTCTCTTTCTC